ATTGGCGATAAAAAGAGAATGGAGGATTGTTACAGACTGATGAAGGCATTAGGCAGCAATGGCGTAACAAATTAATTATTATTGTAAGAGTACGTTTATAATTATGTTATCTACATTACTAATAAAATAATTTATTATTTGATAATTTTTCTTATTAACGGTAAGCTTAAGAGTAATAGTAAATAGAAACGATACTATACAAACATAAATTTTTATTTTTTACATATTTACATTAGCAATACAAGTTATTGTCAGTCATTTGTGACAACCTGGATGATCGTTGAAATTATTTTTTCTCCTTTTTCGTGATTTTGTAAATTTAAGAGTGGATCCTTAATTTTTTCTTTTAGAAGTTCTAGCAGTTCCAAACGGATAACTTTTATCATTTCGGCTACCTAGGATAATTAAAAGTAGATTGTTAAAATTATTAATTTTCACCTTTAAAATGATTAAAAGAAAAAAGACTTGTTATGCATATTTTTAATATAACTAGTTGTTTTAGATTTTTTTTGTTGATAATTTACCTGATGATTTTCTACTTGAAACATTATCCATCCATCTTCAAGGGAGAGATATGTTATCCCGTTATGGACACTGATTCTAGGTATACAACCCGAAAAAAGAACTAAAGGAACAAAAGGCACCATTGTGCAATCTTTGATGAATATTTTACTAGTTTTCACTTTTTCTTGAAATACAAGATATGGACTAGAAAACTCTTTTACAATAAAATTCACAGAACTTGGATGAATAAACACCTACAAAGTGAAAAGGTACTACATAAAATATTATATTCTGTTTATTAGTTAATTGGATAATATAATCAGTTTTAAAACTTATTTTTAATTTTTCGCCTTTACTCAGCTGAAGTATTAGATATTGAGCTTCAGCAAGTTTTAAGGATTCCCCTGACATTTTTTGAGTATTAAAAATTCTCGGTCTCTTTTTAAAGTCTTGTGTTTTTGTTATGTTACAATCTATTTACTTTTAAAGTTTCAACATGTTGATATTATCATATTTACTTACTGTTTCATTAATTGTCCTAAATTTTAATTCTTTCGCTTCCGTTTCTTTGACAACAGCCCCAGCTACACTGGCAATATAGGTTTTCTGCGGCGTCAACACTTTTACCACATTAGGATAAAGGGCAGTGCATAAAATTGCGGATAAGATTTTGGCGTTGTTATCATTCCTGTTAAACTTAAAAAGTCGCATTTTCAGACATGAAGACAAATAAGTATAACAAAATAATTCAAACCTCAGATTTTGTAATTTCCAAAACTTTGTCGGTACCAGACCGGTGACGATAAACAGTTAAGTCGACTGGTACGAAGTTTATGCTAACTAAATATTCCAAAAATTGGTGTTTCGTATCGGCTAATGTTTCTAATGTTTTAATAGAGAGATAATTTTCGTTGGCAAAGTTTTGTCCGGCTAATCGACCTTTTCGGGACACTTCTTGCCACCTCTGCAAGTAAACAGCTATAATTTCTTGGTATATCTAATCAATTAGATGTTTCGATTAAAAAAAAAAATAGCGAGTCTTACAGTAATCGCCATTAACGTATAACATCTAATATCGGTAACGACCAAAATAACGTTTGTTAATATTTTATGTACCAATTTTAAAAGGATTAATTAATATGACATTAAAAGGCATTAATCTCAAATTTTGAAAGTGCAGGATCAATTACATCAATTACAGAAACTGTTAATATACATAAAATAGATTAAATCTTATTCTACATAATTCCATAATGTAAGCTGCATGGCAATGCGTCGAGCTGTTTAAGACCAAGCTCGAATGGGTGACAGCTCTGTTTTCTTTCTCTTTTTCTCTTTCTCTTCCGTTATGAAAACCGTAACTGAATAGGGCGCGCTTTTATCTCCCTACTTCCAGTAACGCGTTTTCATTACTCCCATTGTTGCACATATTTAGCGGTAATATGTTACACATCAAAAATAATTAAAACAGAAATCTTAATTTTAACATTATTCTACTAAGAAATATTAGAAAGAAAAATAGAACAATGTTTTCCTCCCTAATTTAGTGCAAGTAAATCTATTATATACCTTTTTAACGAATATTAATTTAGTTATTTGTTAAAACCTACCCTGTATGCCCTTAAAACAGTTAAATGATCACTGCATGCTAAGGCAAAGTCCCTCTTTTTTGCATTAGCTTGCTCTTTTTTGTCAAAAGGTGTTACGAATGGACTCTTATAACTTAAACATGATGCAATTGTTAAAGTTGCGTCTACACATGAAAATATAGCTCCATAAAGCATCAGTTTGCCGATTCGAACATCAACCGGTAACGCTGCCAAATGTTGCCCTAGAGGTGTCAAATTATTATCGTCATCTAATGCGCCAACGTTTTGTAAACGAAATATAGCTGCATTAATATTTTCTATTTCTGGTGGTTCAATTAGTTTATCTAAAGAAAAAAAGTTTTAGAAATTTTTACGAATAAAATAAATGCAACATAATAGTAAATTTTGTTCACAAAGTAAAAGAAGTTAATTATACCTAAAACGTCGTTAACAGTTCTATCTTCGAAATTCGGTAAAATTTTTATATGCAAAATCAACTGTTCAAGCGATATTCTTTGAATTTCAGGTATCGGTTGAGGCTTAAAATGGTGTTTAAATCGATGATTTGTGAAAAGATGTATGCAAACGCCTGGCATAACACGTCCCGCCCTCCCTTTTCTTTGTAACGCATTCGCTTTCGTCTCCCAAACAAGTTCCAAACTTTCCATGTTACGTGAGGAATCAAAATATTTTTCTTTCATTTTTCCGGCATCTACAACGAAAACGCAGTCGTCAATTGTCACAGATGTTTCCGCAATATTCGTAGAAATAACAATTTTTCTAGCTCCATTCTTCGGTTTTCTGAAACAAATTAACATTAAACATTTGGGCGATAATATAACAAAGATTTCCAAACGAAGTTTCACCATTTTCAATATGAATTATTGAAATTTATTTATCCACATAATTAAAAAAAAACAGCATTGTTTTAAAAAGGAATTTTAAGATTTACATATATAATAGATAGTGATCTTAACATAAAAATAACTTTTAATTACAAAATTGGAAAGGATGTAAATCATACCTAAAAACTGATGCCTGTTCTTCACTCGTCAATGAAGAATGTAGTGGTAAAATAACATATCTTCCATATCTAGGACTAAAATCGGGATGCACTTTAAGTTGGTCATAAAGAGCAGTTATTTCACCAATTCCTGGTAAAAATATCAATATTGTTCCTTCTCTTGGATAATTATGATCTCCATCAACTATCCACGATAATACCGATTCAAGTAAATCTAAATTTACCTTTTCTGGATCCATTAAATACAAATTTTTACAAGTTTGTCGACTATATCCTATAGAGGATAAAAATTTTCAGGTACACCATTTAGCACTAGTTTAATACATTAATATTTTTACCTTCATATCTGGCAAGTAATTGTCCGAAATTTAAACATTCATCTTTTATATTATCTTTCGGTTTATTTAAATTATTTACTTCGCTTGATTGAAGGTCTATTTCAAAAGTTTCAGGTAACTTTTTAATAGGACGAGTATACGGAGTATTTTCTTCCAATATATAGCCAGTTTCTTCTAAAATATCTTCCAGAAAATATTGTTCAACCGGAAACGTTCGTCCGGGTATTTCCAAGATAGGCACGTTTGAGAAATAATCGGAAAATAAACCCGAGTTTAATGTTGCACTCATGAGTATAACTTTAATATCTTTTCGGACGAGTAACATTTCTTTTAATATGAGTAATAAGAAATCGCTAAAAAGAGACTTATGAAG